AAGAATTTAACTAATGAATCATACTAAAATTTAAATTACAATTTACAATTTGATACCAAACTTATTGACATACATTCATAAAATAGTAGTTCAATAAAATTTTTAATGCGAGTCTACAAACGTGATGACACGGCCTTTGATCTGTGACCATAGGAAGGCCCGTAGAGATATGGTTAATAAATACCACTAATTCCAACAATCAATTAATCAAAATTATGATGAAATCAATTAATGTCACAAAAATAATAAATTAAATAAAATTTGTATTTCTGATTGTTCCAACTATTGAGTATTCGAAACATTGTCATTATGATTTTGTATTATTATTTTTGATTAATTCAAGGTTGTTCATCTTAATTGATTAGTGTGACAACTCACAAAAATAATTAGCTAAATGAAATTAGTGTTTCTGATTATTCCTTTTTTCTATTATTCCAACTATTCAAGTGATCAAAAAACTGACATTATGCTTGTTGTTTTTTTAAGCACAAAGCTGCATAATGCACTATCTGTGCTCTGTCCATCACAGGTGTCAAAACCTGACTTATGGCTTTATAATATTTTTAGTAGTTCAACTTTGGGCCAGCATGGCCTGGTATTAGATGGGTGAGTGGGGGTTACCTCATGATTCAAGAGTCTCAGTTTCAATTCCCTTTGCTACCAAACTTGCTTTTTATATTTGTTTCTTTATTTTTGAGTTATGGCAAAGCTACCAAGACTATCTGCCACTGTTCTTAATTTTCAACTGCTGACTAGAGGGAATGCAACTCGCCCACCACTAACCTTTGGGCTACTTTTGTGTTAAAGTGTAAATTTGCTTCTTTTTCTTTAACGTTGTGTTATGTTTCTTAATTTATAATTGCATAACTGTATTCTTTGATATTGAATAACATGTAGAATCTCCTTTTACAGTAAAATTTATAACTTGTGTAACTGCAAAGATGTAGGTTCAGCTCTACCAAATTTGCATTTATAAATGTATAAGATGAATGACCAATCATTGGTATTTCATAGTACACACAGATGTTAGCATTTTCCTTCACTGAAAATGTATTTCCGATAAATACTTACCTTCTCTCACAAAATAACTTTCCTCAAGTAGCACTGCCATCTATCGATGCAAATTTTCAACATATCCCACTACCCTTCCACCTCCCATTTCTACATATCCACATGCAAATGATCATGCAGCAGCTCTCCACCAATAAGAGCACAACACCACTCCTATCATAATCAGTGCCCTCTTCACATCTGCACTTGTTAATCACTTCAAGATTGATCAGAAGACCTACACCATATACCATCGGAAATGGGGAGGCTGGGTGGGAAAGGTGATGGGGGTAAGTATCTATTGAAAATACAATTTCAGTGTAGGAAAATGCTATCTTCTGATACAATATCTTACATGCACTCACAAAATACTAGAATCCCACAATGAACCAGTAGAGGGCCACTAAAAATTATCCCACTTTAGGAAGTGCCCAAAGAGAGACGAAAAAGGTATGGGACCAAAAGAGAAAACATCACACCTCAGCAAGAGACTACACCACATCTGATCCAGGTATACTTTTTGCTCTTTTATGACAATGCTGCAAACATAAAATGCTGAAAAACATGAAGGAATCCCAGAATATGTATGTCCGAGGAATTGGACTTCTGGGTGTTGAGTGGCTAGGGCATGAGAGACTGTAGTGGTAGTTTGACCTCATCCAACACCAGGCAGGATCTTCAGATGATAGAAGACCACAACTGTAAGTGAATCACAACAGACTAATATTGCGATAGTATTAGAGAAAATAGTTGGGCTTGTCCACTGAGGTTCTAAAGAAATTGAACAGGCCTAAGTGGACTTTTGATAAGAAAAGGAGAACTATACATGTACTGATATAACGTTTACAATATGCTTATATTCTGTATAATGTGAACACTTTATTGTACATATGTTTAACTTCTTCCGAATAAAGTGTGTGCTGTTTATTCATCTGTAGAAGAATCCTAAGCCCAACAACTACATAGTATATATTTAAACTATTAAGAAATATAAGTAGAAGCCATTTATTTCAACAATTGGCAAAAAAAGAAAACCAGAACCAATACACATATATAACATTATTTTTTTATATCTGACAAAGAGATGCCTGATTTTCATAAAAAATGAGTTGAGGAGGTGATTGGCAGTTTTTTTTAACAGTAGTTTTTGTCATATCATAGCTAAACTATCTGAAAGTCCAATAATCTTTTAATCATATTGTATAGTATAAATGTTAATGTCAATCGGTCTTCTCATTTGATACAAACTTTACGGGTTATTGCATTTTTATAGGACAGATGAAAAATAACAGCACTATATAAGGGAAGAACAACAGGATATAAAGTTAGTACCTCATGTTGTACGCTGATGACTCTGAGCCTACACCCAAGCCCGAGAGGTTGGTATCCAGGTCAGCTGCTAGAACAGAATCAATTTCTTCAACTAGCCACAAGGTTCTGTCTTTTGCCATGACTCCAGATACTGTCTTTTCTGCAAACATAACAAGATCATTTCTAACTACCACACAATATGAAACAATACAAGCAGTGGCATAGTGCAAAGTGGCAGGGTTTCCCCACAAAAAACATGTTAGGGGCTTCCTTTGGACATTTTGGAAAGAATTGAATTTAGGACTGACTGTCTTTTCTGCAAACATAACAAGATCATTTCTAACTACCACACAATATGAAACAATACAAGCAGTTGCATAGTGCAAAATGGCAGGGCTTCCCCCCAAAAAACATGTTAGGGGCTTCCCTTGGACATTTTGGAAAGAATTGAATTTAGAGCTGACCCAGGTAGCCCAGGGTTCCACCCTGAGATACTTCTTACCATTTTAAAATAGACTCACCTGCTTGCTCGTTGCCTTGACAATGGCTATGCACAAAGAATTTATTTTGTCTTTTCTGCAGCAAAAGTGGCAACAGGGCTTTTAAACTAAACAGTCACTATAGGGGATCCAGGTTGGGCCATCTAACAATGTTAATACAGGCTTGTGTAAGCTCCAGAGCGCAAATTACAAAGTATCTCTCATTTCCCTACCATCCTTGTTGTATTTTTAAAATTCTGTGGGCATGTGCCAAATGCACTTTGATAAGTTATAAGTAAGAAATTGGAGGCTGCAGTGGGGGCATTTGCTATGCCACTGCATAGAAGTCAGTTATGTCAGCTGTCCATTTATATGCATCTCCAAAAGTGATTTAAAGCCATCCCTTAACTTTGGTATCAGTTTTATAAAGGTGCAGTTATCTCTTCTGTAATACATGAAAACAAAGCAGAAATCAACAGAAATTAAAAAATATGTAATCTGAGAATTTTATGTACCAGGGGGCTTTACATTTAGCTGATTTTTTTGTCTACTGCAGAAGTAGGAAGATTCAAGGAGGCTGAAGGCCCAATTACCAAATGTAATTTCTTCTTTCTGACACGTCAAGTGCAATAGAAAAATGAGGCATGCATTTTTATACATGGTTTTTCTTGCTTCCTAGACAAAACAAAACATATTGAAATTTAAAACATATGCACACTTGTATGAAAAAAAAAGTGTTACTGTTCTTTTTAAATGCACCAGTGAATTGATATGGCTTCAGCTGTCACTTAATAAATTATATTTTCTATGTTATTGTCAAATCATTATATTACAAAAATTTGAATGTTATCATTAAGCAAAATCTTGCTAGTAAGCATACATCAACAAACTGGCATTTCATGAGCTGCATAATGTCTCCCAGTTGTGGATTTTGTGTCTTATTTATATTGATAATTTAGCAAAACAGTAAAAATGAAATAAATATTTAACATTTAATAAAATCTCCAAATGTCCAAAGTGGTTTTAGTTTTTATACACATGAAACTCATCTCTTGTGAACATATGTTGACTGATTGTATTTAATAGGCTTACTTAACATTAAGCTGGCACACAACAGCAGTGTTTTATTGGTCAGAAAGTAGAAATTCACTAGTAGTATGCCAATAAATGCCTAAGATAGACATGTTTCTTAAAGAAAAAACAACAACAACATAGGCTCCAAGTAAAAAATCAGGTTGGCTCACAAAGGGTATAAAGGACAAAACTGAAGAAAATTATTACAAATTTAAGAATTTTAAATTGAGTGCTTTGACTGGAGATTCCAAAACTTATAGAATAACAAGAGTTGATGAAATAGAAAATCAGGAAATTAGAAAAACTATATGAATAAAGGGTTGGCTGAAAATGTAAAAAAAAAAAAATTAATAGTAAGGATTTCTTTAAATACATTAAGGGTAAATAAAATGTTAGGATGGGAGAAAGGCCTCTGATGATTATGAAATGGCTGGGTAATACTGAATTCTACTTTGCTACAGTTCTTACTAATGACAATATAAGCAATATTCTTCATCCAGAACAGTTGCCAGATGGTAAAAGAGAGCGAACAAGATGATCACATAAATTCTCAGCTTTTTAAGAACAAATTGGGAAGTTTAAAGAGTGATAAAACTCCAATGCCAGATATTTACACAAGGGTTTTAAAGAAGTTGAGGATTGGATATGTAAGCTACTTGCTATTATTTTTTTCTAAGTCCTTGAATAGTAGGCAGCTGTCAGAAGATTGGAACTTGGCTAATGTTACTCCTCTTTTTAAGGTAGGTAATAAAAATTATCCCAGTAATTATATGTCCAGTACTCTCACATCAGTGGTGGGAAGTTTTTAAGCATCATAAAAGATGCTTTGCAAAGTCATTTAACAAAGTTAAATTCAGCATGGTTTCATTAGGGGAAAATATTGTTTTACTCTTTGTAAATTCTTTGAAAAGGTTATGCTTATACAGATAAAAGTACAGTTGTGGATTTGGATTTAATGAAAGCATCTGATTGATCAGTCTCTTAAGCCATCCAAGCAGTGTGCTGTCAATGGTGGCAGGACATACAGGATTGCATGTACAGAAATAATGAATACAATTCTAAAGAGGTTATAATATAATTGTTTTGGTCATTTGTTAAGCAACATTTGGAGTAGTGTGTTCAGGCTTGGGCTCCTTACCTTAGAAAGGACACTGAATTGTTGAAAAGAGTTCAGAGGAGGGCCACTAGGATAACAGAATAAGATGGTATCTGAAATTGTTTTCTCTTTAAAATGGGGACCTAATTGAGGCATTTGAGATTGTTAAGGGAATTGATGGTGTTGATGCATCATTTTTTAATCTTACTTAATGGTGAGAATGGTAGGACTAGGAGATACAAATATAAAGTTTGGCAGAGTAGGAGTCATCTTCAGCTAAGACAGCTTTATTTTTCTAACAGAGTAGTTAGTCTTTAGAATGGTTTGTCTTTAGATGTGATAGATGTACTTAATTTAAGGAAAGGCTTGATAAATATTTGAATGAGGGCTAGTTTCAACTGTTTATTTTTATTTTAAAGTTTATTTACTTAAGGGATGGAACAGTCTAGATAAACCAACAGGTCTCTTGCTGTTCTTAAATTATATAAATATATATAAAATACATATTTTTTACATCTCATGTACTTTAAGTCCAAAGTAAACATCTTTCAAGGGCTTTAGTAGTTTATCTTAAAAATAATACAAAAGCAAAAGAATTTCAAAAAAATGGCAAAGTTAGTCATTAATTCTATTGCATTTAATATTAAAACTTTGGTTCTTGTTAAGGTTAAACTAAACACACAATTAAAGTTTGGCAAACAATTTCCTATCTTAATATGCCAAAATTAATAATTATTTTTTACTTCCAAATAGAAGTTGGCATTGTCAAATTTTTATTTTATGTTGTAAGTTAAGTGTATTTCAATACTTAACTATGTCACATTAATGACTAACTGTGATATATTCCTGACATAAAAATAGCACTACAGCAGCAGGACTTGCTTTAAAATTGAACATCATATTACTAAACATGTAGTTATGGCATACTAAGTGTACACCTATGATACATATTTTTCAAACCTATATTATCAGGCAACCAAGGTTAGAATTAGAAGCAAAAAGACAAATAACACTTTATTTCCCAATAATATGAAAACTAAAATGCTGCAATTTCATTTAAAAAATCTAAATGCATAGCAGCTAACTAGCTAGCACTTTGAATTGGTGTTCCAATACACATTAGAGGCAACAATACTTCCTGAACCTGTTGCAACATTTAACTGTTCATCACTTATACCAGTAATAACAATAATTGATAACAATTTGGTATTTTGTTTAAGATTAGGAAAAAGAAAAATTTGACAACAGATGTCTTTGTTTTTCACTATTGTAGGAAGGTAAAAGTACTTGTCATACCATTACTTTGTGTGAAAAACTAAATTTAAGAAAATAATGGATGACCTAAGACACTTTAACTCATCATATCACCTGTGTATATATATATATAGTTTGAACTAACAGCAAGAATTATCATCATGCACACCATTCCATAGAAAATAAAAACTTGAATATCATATCATTAAATTTTTTGTCAGTACATCAAGCTTAACTCACATTTTACGACATCATCCAAGATAAATTCATCAAAGTACTCTCAGAAATCTGACTAGACAGTACTTATACAAGACTATTTTATGCATAACTAAGCCAAGATGAGCTGTCTGCACAGAATAATTTTCACCTGGCTCTATAGCTTATGTACATTTTTGTTCTGAAATAAAAGCAGAAGAGAATAAAATTTTTAAACATTTGGTAATAATATAATGCTAATCGAATGGTAGCTGTAAAACAGTGTAAGTATAATTTAAAATAACTCACTGAAGCATAATTCTTACATAACTTCTTACAGTTAAATTAACTGTCAATGTGTCAATATATCAGAAGATATAGAGAGCTAATGCGTGCACAAGTTACACTTATAATATGTCTATATAATCTAAACTTTTTTAGGCTATTAAAGTTCATATGTTTAAAGTTTAAACTAAATTAAATTTTGCAAAAGACCGCTTGCTAACTGAACATTGGAAACCGAAATCCGACACCAAACTCCAAAGTTGGAGCCGAACGAGTATTCTCAAAAGTTATATACATATATTCGTTGGCATTCGAATTCATATGCTGTAAACTAAATATGATTTGTCCTTTTAATTATAAAACTGCAATAAATTAATATAACATATTTAAGTTATATGCTCACGAAAGTATAATTTTAAAACTATTTTTAAAGTTTTACTTAGTTTTAGTTTTACGCGTGTGTGTAATTTTGTAAATTGAAATGTATTACCTTTAAATCTAGAAGCTACCAATATAACGCTGTGCCTTTTACTTTACTATTGTTGTATTGAAGCTATTAAGAAATTCCCTCGGAAATTTCCAAGGAATTAACGATGACTATTTCTTTTTTTTAAGTATTCAATTTTTACGTGATCCATTACGGTAAAAACCCATGACAGTGACGTAAGATTTAAACATGTTTTCGCCCTCTGAGAGAAGAAAACAAATTACTTACTTTTGTATTCATAATAAATAAAAATAACAAATTTTGTTTAGAGAAAATGAGAGACAAAAATAGCATAAATATTATGATTAGACAATGGAACAAGTAAGCTAAAAGAAATAAGAAAGTTTAATTTAAAATAATGTATTACAATTATTTCAAATGTGCTTTGATATGGGCCCATAATATATCTATCAAGTCTAGAATTTTTGAATTCCTATTTGCAGAAGGTTGAGTGCATTGTTACGTCTCTGTTCGTTTGGTAATTTTCCGTAGAAATTCTTTCCC